GTTCTGCAATTTGTTTTTTGTCTTTTGTTTTTAACTTTAATAATGTGATTATCTTTTTGGTTATTATGCATAGAAATTCTTCATTCTTCTTTTTTTTAATGAATTTTTATTGTATTTTTTTCCAAGTAGTATTCCACTGTGTAAATGTACCACTGCTGTTTTTATCCACTCACCTACTGATGGGCACTCAACTGTTTCCAGATCTTGGCTATTGCAATAAGCTGCAATGAACGTAGCAGTGCGGGCATTCTTTTGAAGTAGTGTTTCTGGTTTCTTTGGATAAATTCCCAGAAGTGCAATTGCTGGGTCAAAAGGCAGTTCTATTTTTAATATTTTGAGTTAACTACATACTGTTTTCCGTAATGGCTACACCAGCCTTCATTCTCACCAACAGTGCCCAGGGGTTCCCTTTTCTCCACAACCTCGCCAGCACTTGCTTGTTGATTTATTGATAATGGCCATTCTGACAGGCTGAGGTGATATCTCATTGTGGTTTTAATATGCACTTCACTGATGATTAGTGACCTTCTGCATTTTTTCATATGTCTGTTGGCCATGTGTATATCCTCTTTGTTGAAGTATTTATCCAGGTCCTTTTACCATTAACATTTTTTTTTATTTGTTAGAGAAAGGGGAAAAGAGGGAGAGAGAGGGGAAGAGCAACATAGATGTGTGAGAGAAACATCAATCACTGCCTCTTGGTCACACCCAAATGGAGACCCAGCCCATAACCCCAGCCATGTGCCTCTGCCCCGATTGAGAACTGAACCAGAGACATTTCAGTTGTCAGTGTGACACCCAACTCCCTGAGCCACACCAGTCAGAGCCCCTTTCCCATTTTTAATTGAGTTGTTTATGTTCTTCATGTTGAGTTGTACAAGTTCTTTATATATTTTAGGAATTAGCCCCTTGTAAGATTGTCATTGTCATACATGTTCTCCTATTCAGTGGGCTCTGTTTTCATATTGTTGATGCTATCTTTTGCTGTGCAAAAGCTTTTTGGTTTAATGTATTCCATTTTGTTTATCTTTTTTGTTTCCCTTGCCTTAGAGATATATTGGCAAAAATATTGCTATGAGAAATGTCTGAGATTTTACTGCCTATGTTTTCTTCTAGGGGTTTTATGGTTTTGCAACATACATTTAAGTCTTTAATCCATTTTGAGTTTGTTTTCGTGTGTGGGGTAAGTTGGTGGTCTAGTTTCTTTTTCTTTTTCTTTTTTTTGCATGTATCTAATTTTTTCAACATCATTTATTGAAGAGACTTATTTTTACTCCATTGTATATTCTTGCCTCCTTTGTCAAATATTAATTGACCATAAAGGTGTGGGTTTATTTCTGGGCTCTCTTTTGTTCCATTGATTTGTATGCCTGTTCTTTTGCCAATGCCATGCTGTTTTGTTTACCTTGGCCTACCAAACTGTAGTATAGTTTGATACCAGGTAGTGTGGTACCTCCAACTTAGTTCTTCTTTCTCAAGATTGCTGAGGCTATTTGGGGTCTTTTGTAGTTCCATATAAATTATTGGAATATTTATTCTATTTCTGTGAGATATACCAATGGTATTCTAATAGAAATTGTGTGTAATCTCTAGATTGCTTTGGATAGTATGGATATTTTAATGGTGTTAACTTTTCCTATCAATGAACATTGTATGTGCTTCCACTTACAATGTGGAATCTTCCTCGATGTCTTTCTTCAGTATCTTACAATTTTGCAAGTGCTTGTCTTTACCTCCTTGGTTGAATTTCCTATGAATTCCTATGTACCTTCGTTGTTGTTGTTGTTGCAATAGTAAATTGGATTGATTTCTTAATTTCTTGTTCTGATAGTTTATCATTTGTGTATAAAAATGCCACTCATTTCTCAATGTTAATTTTGTACCCTTCTACTTTGCCAGGTTCATTTATTAGATCTAGTAATTTGAAGGTGGAGTCTTTCGGGTTTCCTATGCACAATATCATGTCATTTGCTAATAATGACAGTTTTACTTTCTCCTTTTCAAATTGGATGCCTTTTATTTCATCATCTTGTCTGATTGCTGTGGCTAGGACTGGAGTATTATGTTGAGTAAGAGAGGTGAAAGCAGACATCCCTATCTTGTTCCCAATCTTAAGGGAACGCCAGTGTTTTTGCCTGTTGAGTATGATGTTGGGTTGGGTTTTTCATATATGGCCTTTATTATGTTGAGGTATATTCTCTTTATTCCTTCTTTGGTGAGGTGTTTTTTTTTTGTTGTTTTTTTTTACCATAAGTGGTTGCTGGATTTTATTGAATTCTTTTGCTGCATCTATTCATATGAGCATATGACTTTATTCCTTCATCTTGCTTATGTGATGTACTTGTTTTGCATATATTGTACCAACCTTGCATCCCCAGAATAAATCCCACTTGATCATTCTGAATGATCTTTTTAATGTATTGCTGGATCTGATTAGTTAATATTCTCTTGAATATTTACATTATTTGATACAAAACAGTATTTTGTTTGAAATGTAGAATCTTGGTTACAGAACAAATAAAACTGTGGTTTGCTCATTTTTATTGTTCTCCAGGCATTTCAGCTGTTCTCTGCTAGGAAAATTGATTACACTTTTTATCATTTCTAATGCCTTTATTCCATGAAAGTACCCATTTCTTAATTAACATTATTTAGAATTAAAGAATGTTTTATTTAACTGTCTTTAAATTAATTAAGTGCTAAGTGGTTTGGCAAACTATCAGAAATTTTGGCTCATTTATAAGTATTTGTGGAGTATAGTGTATCTATCTTGAAAGTGTTAACCCTCAAAATAGGTAGTAAAATATTTTTTATTAGCCTCTTTTGTATTTGAAATAAAAACCTACCTGAGTCATACTGGATTGTGGAACATAAGGGACAAAAATAGAAGAGGAAGGTTTTATTTGTGCATGTGTACATATATGTGTGTGTAAAGGGAATATTTGTGTAGATAATGGCTTGTGTTTGGTAAAGTTTTTCATAATGTTTAATTGTGGGAGTCCTCATCTTTAAGGTAGATTGTGCTTTTTTAAAAAGACAACTAGCATGCTAAATAAATGAACATAAAATATTAACTTAAAAGGTTATTTTAAAGACTTAGAATATGATGTACCCAATTTCTATTTATTGTTCTGATTCCAAAGTTAGATGGAGAGACACATATCTGAGATAGTACCTGCGTGATTTGGGATTTTTTTTTCAATTTAACAAATTTAAACATGGTGCCCTTCATTGCAAGATAAACACAATTTAGCATTTCTTAGATAACATAAAATTTGAAAACTATATATAGCTTACTACGTTTTAAAATATGTAACCTGAAGTTATTCCAAAATTTTTAAAGACAAATTTGGCAAAGCCTTTATTTTGTAAATAGTATGGAACTTTGTATAGGTTTTAAAATAATTTTAAAATTAGTTACAGATGATTTAAAGTTTGTCATTTTTTCTTGGGGGCAAAATATTTTAAGACTTAAAACAGGCAGTTTACCACAGTGCTGACCACATATTATTATGCATTTCTCATTGTTTCCATTGAAGCTATTGAGTAGTCTACAATAGACTACTATGTGAGTTTATTATCCAAGTCTCAAGTTCAAAGTTTCTGATTTTAATTTTATAAACTACATTTGGTCAAGACATTTTGAATGTTCAAATTTATGAGAATTTACTTGTAGCATTTATTATCACCTATAATGACACAAATGCATATTTAAAGTTCTTTAATATATGCATTTTTTGTATTATGAACTTAATAATTCACTTTTTTGGCACTGAAAAATAATGTGAAACTAAACTAGAATGTGATCCTGGTTCTAATTCTCTGTGGGCATGTTCAGCACTATTGGGAGAAAAAAAGACTTCAAGGAAATTTAACAGTTAATAGGGCTTATTATTGGGAGTCAGAGGGCAGAAGGTAGATTCTGACTGGTCTTGATGTTTATCATTTTTGTTTTCTAAATTATCTTTAATAGGGTTCTAGTACCTTTCTAATTAGAATGTATATAAATATTTTCATTTTTAAAAATAATCGAGCTACTTACTTAAATAGAAGTTTATACTATGGAGTATATACTGACAGGTAGTAGAGTTACAAATTCAAAAATACAAGTTATAAGGAACATATTTTCCATCAAATTGGCATCATAGAAACAAATGTTTATAGATATTCTAAGCTGAGTATATTTATAAAATTATATCACAAAGTAGTTTTTCTATAGCTATAATAAAAAAGATGGTTTTATCTCACAAATTTATATTAATGAATTAATCTCTAGTAAGAAAACAGTATAAAAGAAAGAAATTTTGCTCTTAATCCTGAACTTTATCAATGCTTATATTTTTATTAAGTATATTTTATATAAGAGTAACATTATACTTGAAAATCCCCACAGGCAGGTTGTGAAATGTATGTTGGGCCTCACCACCAGAGATTCTGATTAAGTAGATCGAAGTAAGAAAAAAACAACAGAATCTGTATTTTAAATAAAGCACTTGCATGATTCTGGTGCAGGTCATGCAATACACTATAGCAGATTGTTTATTCTTTTCCTCTCTTCATTCCATGGCCAGATCTGGGATTGCAGTGAATCCATGCAAAGGTTATTGCATTTTCCTAATTTAACACATTCTCTTGATCTCTTAAGGTAATGCGTACCCCCTCAGTAGTTGTACAATACAATGCACTGGGTTAAAGGAAGAGGAGGTTAGAACTTCTGTGTGTATTTCTACCTCATTTCCCTCATGTCCATTTCTGTGTGTTTACAATGTATATAATTATTGATATAGTAGTATGTTATAATAAATACAAACATACATAATTTTAGAAGGTAATGTAGCATACAGATTGTTTAACACATTAGTCTATATTACTTGCTTTTAATGATGCTGTATTAAATGTTTTATAATTCAGATTTAGACAACAGACAACTTACTATCAAGTGACAATTAACTACCATTTTGTATGTGTGCTTCCCCACCCTCTTTTGTCTCCTTTATCAGGCGATGCTTTTCCTTGGACGATCAGCTTGCATCATTTCAGCATATACACCCTTTTTGGAAAACAAGTGACACTTTGCCTTGTGGATCCTATGGGTTGTACTTCTACTCTAGCAGTTACATCTCAAAAACTACTCACCACAGCACCTGATACAAGACATTCATTTGTTGTCTGTCTTCACGTTGACCTAGAGTCACTTGAGATAAAATGCTCGAACCTCCAGGTTGGTACATTTGATTTATGAAAGGAAATTTAAAATAATGTGATTTAGGAACAATTGTTTTCCATTTTGTTTCAGGGTTTCTTTTCTATTAAGTGTCCTAAATTATTTTTAACAAGGCCATCAAGATCAGAATGGCCAGATTAAGAATTGCTTTGAAGCTCTCTCAAGTTTTGTAATTTAAACTCTTCTGAAAATATAATGGTGGCAGCGTAAATGCATCTTTTGGCTGGTGGAATGAAATCAGTTGCAGATGTAAAATATTTAAACACTGACGAACCACTTTACCATCAGAGTGTGAGAGTCTGTTGAAGTGGTCAAGTGTAATATTCAGTCATATTGTCACTCTGAACTTCTTTTGCTCAACATGTACTATTTTTTTAAGAGCACTGTTTACTATTTTAAAAAGGCATTTTGTTAATACAACATTTCGGTTGGTGTAGGCCAAACATGTTGTATTCTGCAGTTTTGGAATTTAATATGAATTTGAATCACCTAGGTCTGTTCACATTATTAATTGCGTAGAATTTAATAGTTGTTTATTTGACCTCAAGAAGACTGTAGTATATAGTTTATCAATGTTGTATACTAGTTGAAAAATTTTAAATTTTTATTCCTTGATTTTAGTGAAAGAGAGGAAGCAAGAGTGGGGGGTGAGCGCGAGAGAGAGAAGGAGAGAGAGAGAGAGATTGATTTCTTGTTCCACTTATTTATGCATTCATCAATTGGTTCTTATTTGTGCCCTGACTAGGAATCAAACTCACAACCTTGCCATATCAGGACAACACTCTAACCGAGCAACCTGGCCAGAGCTGAAATCTTATTTTTAAAAGAATACTTTTTAGAATATTATTGGATCTGACAGGTCAATATTAATAAGTCTATGTTTATCCCAGAATTAGTGGGTTTAAGCCAGTACTTAAAATATATTTTTTAAAGTGTGTTCATATACCCCACTATATCTTATAGAGCCGCCTCCTCACTGATACCACAGTTCATCTTTTCTCTCTTCTTCTCTTTCCCTGTACTGTGTTCTATACAGTTTGTTTAATTTTTATATTTATTTGTGCATGTTGAAAACATTGGAACTACTATATATTAAAAATGGCTTAAATGCACATAAAAATGCACATAATTATTATTCTATTATGTTCCACAGTAGTATCGGAAAGAATAATTATGAAATAATTAACACTTTCATAGATTATTTCCTGAATGCTCTTTCCAACATTTGCTTAAAAATATTTGCAAAAGGAAGGGAAATTGTTATGGGCTGAATTGTTCCCTCCCAAAAGATACTTTGAACTCCTAACCCCCAGTATTTCAGTGCATGACTTTACTTGGCAATACAGTCATTACAGAGGTAATCATGTTAAAAAAGATGTCATTAGGGAAAGCCGTAAGCCATAATCTAATGTGACTGATTTTCTTATAAAAATGGGAAGTGTGGATATAGACACACACAGAGAGTCGATGTGAAAACACAATGGGAAAAGAGTGCCTTGTGAAAATGCAGGCAGAGATTGGACTAATGCATCTGCAAGCTGAAGATTACAAGGATTTCTGGCTGCCACCAGAAGCAATGAAGAACGAAATGGATTCTATTCAGAGGAAGGATTGTGTGCTGATAAATTGATTAGGGACTCTAATCTCCAGAACCGTGAAATGAGAAATTTATGTTGTTTTAAGCTGCTCAACTTTGTATGGCAGCTCTAAACAAGTAGACTGTAGAGAGACAGATTCACACCCTTTTAGATTCTTTATCACAAAAGCCCACAACACTCCATTCATTCCATTGATTATTTCTATGTATTCTGGGGACAAAAAGCAAAAACTAATAACATAAATGAATATGTCCAATTTGTTCTAAAGTAATTGAATTGAGAAAAACTTTAAAGCAGCTATTATCATTTTTTTTCATGAGGTATAAAGGAAAGCACACTGAATAAAAAAAGAAAGAATTTGCAATGGAAAATGTAAAAAGAATTGAAGGGAATTTCAGAATTGAAAACTCAATATCTGAAAGAGCAAAACTATGCCACCTGGGCTTCGAGGTGGCTTGCATATGACAGAAGAAAGAATCACTGAACTTGAACATTGAACATAGAAATTACTGACTTTGAAAACCAGAGGGAAAAAAGGTGTTTAGAAAAGGATGAGAGCCTCTGCGGCTATGGGGCAAAATGTTTTACTGATGTGTAATTGGAGGTCCGGAAGGAAAGGAGAAGATTTGGGCAGAAAAAAAATGAACAAATAACTGCAGAAACCTTATGAAATTCCCAGATTTGTAAAAAGAAATAGGCTTTTGCATATCCATGAAATTCATCCAATTCTAAGAATGTTTATCTTTGAGGATAAAGTGAAAGAAACACCTGTGATTAAAATACTGAAAAACAAAGGTAAATCTTTTAGACATCTTGAAAGCAGCTACAAGAAGACACATTATGTATAGGTTTACAGTAATTTGAATGAATACAGGTTTCTCATTAACAACTGTAGAGGACAGAAGACAACATTGGAACAGTATCTTTAAAGTGCTCTCAAGCCAGTGAAGATATGCCACAGAAATCAAAGTGAAATAAAGACACGGTAGATGAAGGGAAACGAAGAGAATTTGTCCCCAGCAGCACTGCTGGACGATAAATACTAAAGGAAGTTCTTCACAGTAAAGGAGAGTGATACCAGTTGAAAATGTGGATCTTCAGAAATAAAGGAAAACAAAGAGAAATAATAACATCATAAATATGTACAACACTTGCTGGACTATCAGTATTTGTAGATGTGATATAGAAGACAACCAAATTGTTGCTGGCGGAAATAGGATGCTTCCACAGGGTTGCGAGAAAGGCATTCTGGGGACCAGGCACTGGAGGACTTGGGCATAGCGGCTGTGTGTCGGAGTGAAAACAGAGGGCTGCCCACCGCTGCCTGATGTCCTATCCACTACCAGGGGCTCAGCTCCCTCTCACTAAGGAAGAAGGTCCCTCTTCTGGCGCCTGAGGCCAGCACTGGTATGAGTCAGGCCGAGAAGGGCCAGGACCCGGAGATACAGAACAGAACTTCCCCCTCGGCCCTCTGCTGCCCCCTCCACCACTGGCCCGCTGCTTGGGAACACCTGAGCACTTGAAGGAACAGCTTGGGCCTTTGTTAAGGTCTGATTGTATCTCTCTTAAGCTTTAATTATATCTCCTTGGGTTTGGGGAAGGGGTTAAGTTTCTTTCAAACTAACCACTTATTTTCCTAATTATTCATGAGCTTGTGCTGGGCCCCCCCCCACCCAATCCCTTTCCTGGATTTTCCAAGCCTAGGCTCCTCCCCGTTATGGTTGCCCTTTTTACCTTCTACTGCGCATGCCTCAAAGCTCAGTATAGTCGTTTTGCTTGCTCTGTGCATGTGCTTACCTCACCTGTGCTGCTTGGCTTTTACTGTGCATGTGCCCAGCAAGGGAATTTCCCCTACTATTTTATCTCTTCCCCAGATAATCCTGAGTACCAGGCTGGTTGTCCCTTGGGGAGATAGTAAAGTTGATTCTTCCTGCCAGTTTGGGGATTAAGTCCCCTTAGTGGAGGATGCGGCTGGTCCCTGGAGTGACTGTGAATGCTACAGCTTTCTAGTTAAATCACACATACTGTCTGATTCAACTCCCTAGTTAATCAGACTTAATGTCAGATTCCATTTGCACCCTTCATTTATTAATAACTAGCTATCTATGCTAACAAAATCATTAAAGTTATGGGGAGATATGATGGGCCAAAAGGACCTGTATGATTGCCCAATCTATAAATACCACTCTAAGTAGACTGTATAAACTTAATTGGACTGTGAAAGTTTACATGTGGGTGGGTATGTGTATATATACACACATATATTTATCTCCTAGAATAACTACTAAAAACATGCAAAGATACAAGCACATGGCGCCAAAGCCAATAGATTAATTAAAATGAAATACTAAAAAATATTTAAATCTAAAGAAGTCAAGAAATAGGCCCTGGCTGATGTGGCTTAGTGGATTGAGTGCTGGCCTGCAAACCAAAAGGTTGCCTGTTCAATCCCCAGTCCAGGCACATGCCTGGGTTGCAGGCCAGTTTCCCAGTGGGTGGCAGGCAAGAGGCAACCACACATTGATGTTTCTCTCCCTCTCTTTCTCCCTCCCTTCCCCTCTCTCTAAAAATAAATAAATAAAATCTTTTTTTAAAAAAAGAAAAGTCAAGAAATGGTAACAGTGATAAAAATAGAGAATAGATACAGAAAAAAAATCAAATAAAATCACGGGAGCTGAACCAACTTTATCAATAAACACACTAATGTTGATGATCTTAACTAAAAAGGTTTACACCAAGAGTTTGAAACTAAGGTCTGCAGGCCAAATTAGAGGCCGCCCATTTTTTATGTATTGTCTAAGGTTGCTTTCATGCTACAACTGCAGTAGTAATTAGCAGCAGCAGAGAATAATATGGCTCACAAGGCCTATAATGTTTACTCTCTGACCCTTTACAGAAAAATTTTGTTGACCCCTGGTCCAACTACCCCTATTAAAAAGCCAAGATTTATAGAGTGCGAAAAAGGCAAGACTACTGAAGAGAATCATTTGAAATATAAAGAAACAGAATATAAATAAATGAATTGGAAAAATATATACCAAACTGTGAGAAGTCTTGATTTGCTTATTTTATATCAAATGAAATAAACGTAAGTAAAAAGAATATTACCAGAGACAAAAAGGGACAGAATTAGTGGAAAAATTATGACAACATGCACTCGTAGTAGGAAATTTTTATAATATTTTCCTCAGTTATTATAAAACAACTAGATGAAAAATAAATAATTGGAGATAAGATATGAAAAAATAGATACTACCACAGTCATATTAGGAATTTTTATAACATCTTTCTCAAGAATTCATAAAATCACTAGATAAAAACAAATGAATAATTGGAGATATAGAAAATATGAAAAATACTAAGAATTCACCTTAATCTAATTGACAGTTACAAAACACT